AACACGACTAGCTGCTAGTTTCTGATTGTCCAAAGCAAGTAGCTCAATTTCTGCTGCCTAAACAACAATATTGTTTTCTAAAAGTACAGGCGGAGGACGCACAGCCAAAGGCCGATGGGCATTGGGGTGGCTAGAACCAGAAAATGAACGGTAAAGGAAAGAAAAGGAGTTTTGTGGGCCCACAAACACAATTCTACAAAAAAAAAAAAAAAAGTAATAAACTATTGCACTTGACTGTTGAAAATGCCTCCGTTGATGGGAGTTATAAACGGTGTTAAGGTGGTGTTAGGGGAAAGAGCTAAATGTAATGGAAAGATAAAGTAAAAGGATGACAACAATATGGTTTGAAAGAGTAGATGGAGGGTTCAGCACTTCGGGCCTACTGGGCCCTTATTGCAGGATGTGTTTAAAATTATCAAGATTTGATTTTAATCTTAGGTTTTTTTTTTTTTTTGAAAAAATTTTTCATTGTTAAAAAAAGAGAGAAGAAAGTAGATGGAGGATTTTAAATTATTTGTAAGTATGAGAAGACAATGAATAAAAATTGAAAGTAGGAGACCATGGTTGGCTTTACCTTAAAGCAAAACAAACACCATTAAAAATCACTTACATTAAAAATAAAGGTTTCTCTTACAAATTTAAATATTTATTAAAAAAAATTTAAATTTTAACCTTTTAAAGTAATTTTTAATTTTGAAAAACTTATACGTTTCAAGATATTCTTAAACTTATTTAAAATTACTTTAAAAATTAAAGTTTAAATTCCATAAAAAAATTAATTTTTAAGTTCTCTTTCAACAAAATTTTAAATTTACAAAAAAGAAAAAGAGAAAAAGATATTTACCTCTTTAAGCTCCATATCCTCCTATAAATGAACCACACCCACCGGGTTTAGAACTTAACTGGCAATTGTCCTCCCAGACTTCATTCCTTTTCACTAGCCCCGCCGGTCCATTAACCAGCTGTTACTACCAAACCACTTCCCATCAAAACCACTCAAAGCTTGAGCAAAAAGTGCCACCAACCCCGGAACAAAACATAAGAAAGGCCGAGAAACCCCACTCGGGGGACGGACCCTGTACCCCAGGTAAAACAGCATAACGGCGGACGAAACCCTCTGACAGATCATAGAGCCCAGAGGACGACCGTGGAGACTGGAAAGACATGTCGAAGTTTTTTTTTAATATTTTTTTAGTAAGAAGTTTTTTAATTTGTTTTATGTATGGTGAAACAGGCTAAAGATACAAATGGCTTCTTCCAGCTCGGTTACAATTCAGATAGAGCCTAGCATGGAAAGTGATTCGGGGGATTCTTCGGTTGCCGAGATTCAAGAAACTGAAGTAAGTGTCATCCATTATCCGGAAGATCCGCCAGTAGGTTTTATTTAATTTACAGTTTATTTATCATTTCCCCTAAGCAAGCAGGGCAATGCTAGGGACACTCCCCAATTGCACTCTCCAACCAACACTTTCATTTTTATTGGCCACGTTATTTTGGGTTTTGAGAGGTGATCCTATTATAGCCTAGAGCAAGCTTACGTGGCCCAATAAAAAGGCATGTGTTGGCTGGAGAGTGCAGGAGGCGAGTGCACCAAGCCCTGCTTAAGCAATAGTTATTGGATAATAATTATTTAGTATTTTCCTTTTAGTTGAACCCCAAGTACACACCACAAAAAATAAGCAGAGACAGATACTTCTTTAAAAAACAGATAAATTATTTTTGAAATTATCAATTAAAATAAATAATTTATTATTAATATGTAATGATTAATTTGTTACTTAAGACTGTTTTTAATAAAAAGTTACCATATAATGATATTAAATGTTAAATAATAATTCCTTACTCTCTGTTTTTTTTGGGACGAGTTCTGTCTCTCCTCTTATTGGTTGTGGATTTAAAGAATTGGTCATTATTTTTCGTTTTGTAGGAAAACGGAGAAATTTACTTTTAATTTAATTATAAATACCAGATATAAATCACAATAATTATTTCTTTTCTCATACTCTATATAAACAATGCAATTTTCTTTGCCACTCAATTTTGGTAAATTTTAACATCGTTTTTTTTTTTTTGAGGAAAAATATCGTTTTGCTAACCAGACAGTAAAAATTATTTTTCATAAAAAAATTTCTAGAATATTTCAAATAAAGAGAATAATTTCTTTT